CTGAGATGAGCCCTTCAACAGCGTTACAGGTTGAGGTGGATGAATAGGAAGATCTGCTCTGCTGCTCCCTAGAAATACATTGGAGGACAATGCAGCTAAACAGCAGCTAGAAACACATTCTGGACACAGGTCCAGAAAGTGCATGCATGTGTTTGTTGCAAAGGTGCATGTTGCAGTGGCTGCTGCCTTGAAACTAAATGCCCTAGGGGATTGCATAAAGTTGCATTGTATTGTAACAGTTGTATTTGCAGTGACAAATATGAGAACCAAAAATATACAGTAGTTAACACAACGTTCATTGTCTCAGGTAAGAGACACCAGACAGTGTTTTACCTGTTTGTATTAACAGTGAGCGCTGTACCTGTAGGCAGCGTGAGAGGTAGAAGTCTTGTGTACAGGGAAGAACAGGGGTGGTGATGGGACTGTCTGCATCCAGACACGTCCCCATTGACACTGAAACACATATCAGGACAACATTACACCCTGCATGTATTTCATACCATAAAATACACTAGTGGAGACCAACAATTACAAGAATGCCTATCAGAGCAGGGTTCCATTCAAGGTCACAACGTTTCTGCATTGAAAGGGAAGGTCATAGTGCATCGTTAGCAACAGTTTAAGCAAATATAATGGTGTTGTAACAACCTTTGTACTACAGCTATGTGAGCAAGTCACATGGGCGTGGTACCTGCAGGTGCAGAGACTGGCTGGGCAGTAACACTACACACCACGGCTATATCACACTTCTTCCCACACTGATACAATTAGAAAACTAGACTCAATAGGGACATTTTCATTTACACAGTTTTATTGGATTTATTAAAAATTGCTTTTTATAAAAGACTGAGTTGCAAGCCAACAAACAGAATAATTACATTGATTTTCTTTTTTCCAAACAACCACACAAACAACCCCTCCCACGATCTCCTAGGAAATGTGCAAATATTGTGAATGAAACAGTTGTAAAACTGTGATCTTGAATGCACCCAGCTCAGATGACTGCTCTACTCACCTTGTGTTCTGGCTCTCTTGGCTGCAACCTTCCCCTCCTGGGTGGGCAGTGGTAGGGGAGAGTCCACATACCTCTGAAGGACAAAGGAAATTGAGAATTTAACCATGTTTTAATTTACCATTGACGTCAATACAATCTGAACATTTATAGGCAAAACCAGTTCATTCCTGATTTTACTGCCTCTTTCTTGCCTGCAGTGTGAATACCAAAAAATCCAGAGGAGGGTTGGGAGTGGTGGATGACTCTCACCTCTCTCCCTATCCCCCTCTTTCTTCCTGTTACAGCAGTCTGTAGCTTGGGTTGGGAGTGTTGTGGCTACTTCTTTCGCTGGTGACTATCTGGGAACTCTGGGGGACACAGTCTGTAGTAGGGTTGAATGGCGGGAACCCGGTTAGCAAGATTTACAGCCCAAAACCACTCCCTTTTCCCGGGATAAATAACTGCGAGAAACCGGTAAATTATAATAAATTATTAATATGAACAGCATGGCGTGAAATGGAATTGATACGTGATGTTTAAATCTGGCTTCTCTACGGCTGCTGAATGATGAATCCCGCTCAGGGTGGGGACAGACAGCCCATCTCAGTATGGAGCGCAGTTCACAATGCATGTAGACCTATCATCTCATCATGGTAACTCCTTGTGACAGGTAGGCCAACATTTGCTGCAGCATAGCCTATGCTACAGTAATATAAAGACCGAATGTCCGTCTACCGTAATTTTCGGACTATAAGCCGCGCCTTTTTTCCCATTTTTCGACCCTGCGGCTTATATAACGGTGCGGCTAATCTATGGATTTTTACAGCTAACGGCCACTAGAAAACCTCCTAAATCTATGGATTTTACAGGTTACAGTCCACCAACTTTAACTTTATGGGCTCTATGACCGGTCCGCGCCCCCCCACCTTTAAGCGGCGGGCTCCAGCAGGAAAAGCTGGAGGCCGGAAAAGAGTGAGACAGGTAGCGCGCAAAAGTAAAAGTGGAACCGAGAGTGGTACGAGAGACAGAACGAGAGCAAGACAGACAGACATTACGAGAGCGAGACAGTTTGTCTCTTTCCCGACAATCCCCTCTGTGCACGAACCCTTATATATGGTAATTAAACATTAAAACACCTGAGGCTTATAGTCCAGTGCGGCTTATATATGTACACATCATTCAATATCATTCAATTTAGCTGCTGCGGCTTATACTCCGGTGCGCCTTATAGTGCGGAAAATACGGAAATTTACCCATCTCCATTTGGCTTTCGGGGTCACCTTGTTTTTTTTTTTTATTGTAAAGATTTTGTTTTTATTGCAGCTCCAGATTTTTTTTAACAGCCCATCACCCGAATATCGTTGCTTTAAAATCAGTGCACGCACTCGCAGTCCCTTTCTCTCCATCAACTCCTTTCAAATTGTATCCATAACAGATAATCCTGTTCTAGATTGCGATATACAGTGGGGAGAACAAGTATTTGATACACTGACAATTTTGCAGGTTTTCCTACTTACAAAGCATGTAGAGGTCTGTAATTTTTATCACAGGTACACTTCAATTGTGAGAGACGGAATCCAGAAAATCACATTGTATGATTTTAAAGTAATTAATTTGCATTTTATTGCATGACATAAGTATTTGATCACCTACCAACCAGTAAGAATTCCGTCTTTCACAGACCTGTTAGTTTTTCTTTAAGAAGCCCTCCTGTTCTCCACTCATTACCTGTATTAACTGCACCTGTTTGAACTCGTTACCTGTATAAAAGACACCTGTCCACACACTCAATCAAACAGACTCCAACCTCTGGCCAAGACCAGAGAGCTGTGTAAGGACAAAGGACATCTAAAATTGTAGACCTGCACAAGGCTGGGATGGGCTACAGGACAATAGGCAAGCAGCTTGATGAGAAGGCAACAACTGTTGGCGCAATTATTAGAAAATGGAAGAAGTTCAAGATGACGGTCAATCACCCTCGGTCTGGGTCTCCATGCAAGATCTCACCTCGTGGGGCATCAATGATCATGAGGAAGGTGAGGGATCAGCCCAGAACTACACGGCAGGACCTGGTCAATGACCTGAAGAGAGCTGGGACCACAGTCTCAAAGAAAACCATTAGTAACACACTACGCCGTCATGGATTAAAATCCTGCAGCGCACGCAAGGTCCCCCTGCTCAAGCCAGCGCATGTCCAGGCCCATCTGAAGTTTGCCAATGACCATGTGGATGATCAAGAGGAGGAATGGGAGAAGGTCATGTGGTCTGATGAGACAAAAATATAGCTTTTTGGTCTAAACTCCACTCGCCGTGTTTGGAAGAAGTAGAAGGATGAGTACAACCCCAAGAACACCATCCCAACCGTGAAGAATGGAGGTGGGAACATCATTCTTTGGGGATGCTTTTCTGCAAAGGGGACAGGACGACTGCACCGTATTGAGGGGAGGATGGATGGGGCCATGTATCGCGAGATCTTGGCCAACAACCTCCTTCCCTCAGTAAGAGTATTGAAGATGGGTCGTGGCTGGGACTTCCAGTATGACAAATACCCGAAACACACAGCCAGGGCAACTAAGGAGTGGCTCCGTAAGAAGCATCTCAAGGTCCCGGAGTGGCCTAGCCAGTCTCCAGACCTGAACCCAATAGAAAATCTTTGGAGGGAGCTGAAAGTCCGTATTGCCCAGCGACAGCCCCGAAACCTGAAGGATCTGGAGAAGGTCTGTATGGAGGAGTAGGCCAAAATCCCTGCTGCAGTGTGTGCAAACCTGGTCAAGACCTACAGGAAACGTATGATCTCTGTAATTGCAAACAAAGGTTTCTGTACCAAATATTAAGTTCTGCTTTTCTGATGTATCAAATACTTATGTCATGCAATAAAATGCAAATTAATTACTTAAAAATCATACAATGTGATTTTCTGGATTTAGATTCCGTCTCTCACAGTTGAAGTGTACCTATGATAAAAATTACAGACCTCTACATGCTTTGTAAGTAGGAAAACCTGCAAAATCGGCAGTGTATCAAATACTTGTTCTCCCCACTGTATATAGAGTGAGCGATAGATGTCCTAGCCTACCTCTTACAGGTAATACATTCAATGCAGTATTAGCCTTATATTTAATAAGGGTTATGCATAATGCTAATTAATGATGGGTTATGCATAATAAGCTTCTAACTTATAGCCTCTGTCTCTTGCGCAATACACAAGCACCTGTGCTCCGCTGGCCTCTCCTTAAAAAACGCTCCTTAGCTCTTAGAGTCCCATGCAGGAAAAGCTAGACTAGACAATCTTTTTAGCATTTCTTATACCAATAGACTATTCGAATAAGCTCTTTTTTGCTGAATGTTAAATACAGCAGCCAATCGAACTCACAGGTAGTTTGAAAGAAGAGTGAACACGCGATGGCGGTAGGCTATAGCAGTTATTTATTTAGACCCATAACTATTCAATCTTTGTGAAGAGAAGTGAAAGCCTTCTGCATCCA